TGAGTAGATTTCTTAACATATATTAAATTATTTGTGTTTGTACAACAGTTGTTACATTAAATCCATTCCACATGAAAATGAACAGCAGGGTACGCTTCAACTGAGAAAGATAAATCCAACAGTGGATTAAATCAGTGTAGGGATTAAGTGATAGAGAGGCAGACACAGCTGTTTGTGATTATGTCATTTACAGTGCATCTTTCATGGGGTGTGTGTGTGTGTGTGTGTGTGTGTCAGGTGGAAGAGGAGGAGGGTCAGCTGGTTTTGGACAGAAATCCTCTGGAGTGGAGCGTAGACGAGGTCGTTCAGTTCATCAACTCTACTGACTGTGCTTCTCTGGCAAACATCTTCCAGGAACAGGTACACACACACACACACACACACACACACACACACTAAAGGAGTCTGAATAAGTTTGAAGAACTCCTCTCTCTTCATCGTTTTGTGTCTTCTGTGCAGGACATTGACGGTCAGGCGCTGCTGCTGCTGACTCTGCCCACTGTTCAGGAGTGTATGGACCTGAAGCTCGGCCCCGCCATCAAGCTATGTCACCAGATAGAGCGCGTCAAGGTGGCGTTTTACAGACAGTACGCCAACTGATGACCTGCTCGGATTTACTGAATATGGTGGACGTGCGCGACTAAGAGCGGTTGGATTTGGCGCCTCCTGGTGGAACGTTTTTTCAATTTGCAAACAGAAGGATTATTTTTTTGGAGCAGTTGCATAAAACACACAAGACGGAGTTACAGGAGGAGAAGCTGGAGGATTCATTTCTGGATTATTGTCGGAGTAAAATGTGACGCAGACTTCCGCCGCTCTCGACTGAACAAAACGCATTGGAGTGGATCCACGTGCTGTGAAGACGTTCTCCTGAAAAGCCGAGGACTCGTTTCTGAAGACATTTCTTGCTTTTTATTTCCATTTTATTTGTGACAGAGCAGCTTTATAGCGTTTAAGTTAAAGATCATTATTGACCTTTGAGAGTATTTCCCCCTTTCTGTGATATGATTGGTCCTGAAAAGATCTATTCACCAATATTTAACCAACCAAGAAGTAATATATTTGGAATATTTATTGTTATCCTAATTTATGCGGAGGTCTATCTATTTGAATGAAGATGAATTGAAGTTATATTAATTTAAAATGAATGAAACAAACTCCTTAAACATCTCACAAACAGAAACCAGGACGTGAGTTTATTTAGATTTCACTTTGTGTTCACAGAGGTAAAAATAAATAAAGTATCCCAGGTAATGTCAGGGTTTGTTACGGCCCTCTGAAATCCTCTGAACCCCCCGTGATGCTCACGTCTCGTCGTTACAATCACACAAAACAATCATGTAAGCTATTCTGTGTCCATCTATGCAAATGCTTGGCAGATATTTTTGATAAGTAAGAAAATAAATTTCTATTGATTTGTATCTGTTTGTGGTGACGTTTCTTTACAGTCGGTCCATGTGAGGTCATTTTCTAAATGTCAGATTCTGGTTATTTTATGGACCGGACAACATGTCGACCAATCAAGACTAAAAACTAAAAACCCCTGGTGAAGAATCATGGATGTCAGCCTGAATGAGCAGACTTAAGACACAACTTTACACTGTAAAACAATCAGTCCTGGAAACGTATTATTTATGGTCAATACTCGAAATCGTTCTTGGTTCTAAGAACGGTCTGGAGACCACCTTTGGGCCGTGTTGGTACTGCAGGTGGGCCGCGAAAAGCCCTCAACCAAGTATAAAAATAAAAGAAATATCACAATAATGATGATTCACCATGAGTCAACCCTTTAAGTGATGAGTAAGGCGTGTCATGACTATTCATGGACATAACGTTTAATGAACTTTCCTGTCTATCTTGCCATAAAGTGATGTTGTAATGTCCTATAATTGACCCTAACTGAAAGTGAGAGCTGTAGTCAAAACTTTTAATAATAATTTTGTATTTCAAAGTGGGGCGCGGCAGTTTTAAGTTTGGGAAAGTCTGGACTAGACAAAAGAAAAAGAACATACTCACTGATTATTTGGATGTCATGCAACTGTCTTTAGAGCACGGTCATTCTGTGTCAGGGTTATCTGCAACATGAAGATACGAGTTAACCAAAGTGCATTAGCATGCTAACACAACAATGCAAGACACAGGTGATTGCAGCTCGAGCCAAAGGTCAATTTTGTCAACTGCTTGATGCTTTATTCTGGTGCATTCTTATTGAAAACTCCTTCATGGGAACGCGAGTGGAGAGGGCGTTGGCCGTGTGTCGCTGGAGGAGAGCGGAGGCTTCAGAACAGAGGAGGTGTGGTAAACAGCAGTTTTGGTTGTTTTGGTTTAATGCTGGTGCTCAAGGGCGACATCTACTGGATCAAAAAGTCTTAAACTCTTCCTTTAATCTGCATATTTCTATTGAGGAGAATATTTAGAACACAAGAAGGATTTTAAAGTGGATTGAGGAAAGAAACAGAAGTTTGTCTGACTCATTAAAACCAAACCATCAGCTACAAAAACAATTAAAAGTTTTAAACTAGGATACAAATAGATAATTTGAAAAAGCTATGATACATTCATGCCTTAAAGTGTTGCTCAACATCCAGTTTAAACCAGTAACATTGATTGTGGGAAACTAGAGCTGATCTGGGCTGTGGCTGAGAGAGAAGAGGTGTGAAACTACTTCACTTTACACATTTTGCATCATTGGCACCCACAACATTTTAAAAAAACAAAGTGAGCACACTTTGTTGGCGGTAACGGCACCTCTATTTTTAAGTGAACAACCTGAACAATAAAAATAGAAATTCAGAGAGTTCCTCGTAGCTGAAGCCACAGCTGTGATAAAAGAAGACTAAAGGGTTAATGTGCTGAACACTCCCTCGTACACGTTGCTGAGATAAAGGAAGTCAGACGTGGTTAACAGAACAAACACACACAGTGATGTATTGAAGTCACAGCGTAAGAGGAACCACACTCCACTCTGCAACTTTGTTTAAATAATCACTCAGATGTTCCAACTTGAGGGGAAAGAAGAGTCAAAATAGTGAGCAAGAAATAAGAGAAAAATGGGAAAAAGACAAATACTGTAATCAAAATGTAAAAGGACAAACAGCTCAAATAGTTAGCTCATTGACTGTGGAATTGCCACTGGGAAATCGTTACTACAAATGACAGATGTGTGGTCTGGTCGACTCGTCTAGTGTGTGCGTTCAGAGGATTATTATGTTAAAAATCGGTTGAAAAGGGGCGCTGGTGGTGCAGTGGTTAGACCCATTTATGGAGGAATATGTTCCTCCAAGCAGGCGGCCCAGGTTCAAATTCTCGCATGTCATTCCCTGCTCTCTCTCTCCCTGATTTCCAACTCTATCCACTGTCCTATCTCTCCATTAAAAGCACAAAAAGCCCGAAAATAAATCTTAAAAAAATAAAAATTAATCTTAAAAAAATAAAAATTAATCTTAAAAATAAATAAATGAATAAAGAATTGGTTGAAACGGTTTTGGCTGTCAGCCTAAATGCCTCAAAGCCGGCCGAAGTGTGGCAATAAATGTTTGGAGTAGTTTATTCTTTGCTTAAATCTGAAGTATAAATGCGGGAGAAAGGCAGTTAAACATGAGATCAAAATTGTAGAATTTGCTAAATAATGCTCGATTCAGCACGGCTTCTTAACATGACGTTAAACTCAGTGAGTTTTAGGACCTGCCGTCGGTTCAACACAGAGCTGATTCTGTCTTGATGGTGACATGTCTGCATGAAACAAAAAGACCATTCAATGTGTAATGAATTCAGCAGCGTCTAATACAAATATCGTTCAATGTGTAAACAGCAACAGAGTAATGATGGGATGTCAAATCGTGTCAGTCACGACGGTTTCTGAAACGACTTCTCTACTCTTAATCTGAAGGAGAAGAAGAAACAGACAGCTCTCTGACAGACACTAATGTATTCCACAAACACCCCGACAGTGCAATTACACATGAAGTGCGACACTGTTTTTCCAAAAACAAAACAAAGCAAAATGTCACCCCGGAGTAAAAATAGAAAAGAGTGTAAACAAAAGCTGCAATTTATCTCTTTGCCTGGAAGAAAAATGTCTTTTCCACACAAAGAGAATCAATGCAGAGGCAGTCGTCTCGTCTCTCTGAAAACATCGAATTGTGAAGCTAACGACAGGTAATGCAGATCGGTTTATTTAAGCGTTATTTAATCAGGGAAGGTTGGCTTAGCAGACGAGCTTTGGCAAATACAGCCTGTAAAATAAACAGAATGATAAAACAGGACCGGCACAAACACGACTGAATTAGACAAAGACAGTCGGGTTAGCAGACACAGGTAACAGAGCAACACTACTCCATTGGTATGTTTTTCATTATTTTATAATATACACAAAATACACATCCTGGGGCGCCAGTGGCCTAGTGGTTAGTTCATGCATTCCATGTACAGAGGCTGTAGTCCCAGGTTCAAATCCGATCAGTGGCTCCTTTCCCACATGTCATCCCCCTCTCTCTCTCTCTCTCTCTCTCTCTCTCTCTCTCTCTCTCTCTCTCTGATTTACGACTCTATCAGTGTTGTCCAGTCCTTTGAATAAATGCATAAAAAGCAAAGCAGCGGGAGAAACTTGGGGTTAAGTGTCTTGCAGGAGTTGCTGCAGGAGCTGGGGATCGAACCCCCAACCTTCTGGTTCAGAGACAACCGACTGAGCCACAGCCGCCCCAGTATAGAGACCTGCTAAAATACTCCTCACAGGAGCTTTAATGACCAGCTGGTGAATAATCACAACGATGAAATTTGGTGTTTAACTGTGAAAATTCCACACAAAAATAAGGCTTAAGCCTAGCGGTTATGTTGCGAGAACAATGTACGGAGGTTGTAGTCCTCATCGCAGCAGCCGTGGGTTTGAATCCGACCGCTGCCCTTTGCTGCATGTCGTCCTCTACTCTCTCTTCAAAACATTCCCTGTCTCTCTTCAGCTGTCCTCTCTAATAAAAGGCAAAAAGGCCCCAAAAAACATCTTTTAAAAATCAGGCGCAAAAATGAACAACAATCTCCAATTTTAAAAATGAAGCTTTTAGATTAAAACCACACTTAGCTGTCACAGTTGGTTATCTTTTCAGGAGGTATCTAAGGGTAGAAGTTACTGTGGAAAAATATTTTATGGCACCAAGATTGAGAGAGTCGTGCAGCAGCATGATAATAATTGTGTGTGTGAGATGATGGAGCCATTAGGAGGGTGGTGGCAAAATAAAAAAGAAATGACCCCCGATGTGGCGCTGATAGCTGTTTCATGTAGCAACATAATTGGAGGTAATGCTGTGTTAGTCATGCATACAACACACGGCCCGATCTGCTGATTCATTTGCAGCCCTCTCCGTCGAACAACCAGCCAATAGAAATTCATAAAAGGCAGTGATTCACATTCAGAAGTGTCGTGCCTCACCAGCGCTCTGTACGGCTCCAGCTGAATTAATTTAATAGCTTTTTCTCTCCTTCTCACACACACACAAAGAAACTCCCCCCAACTCAGACACTTTGTATTGAGTCAGTCTGAAAGCCACTACCTTATTCTGTTGCCTAGTAACCTCAAATCAAACGTTGGCTTGGCATGATTTTTCCTCACCGTGTTTGTGTGTGAAATCCAGACGAAGTCATGAGGAGTAAACACACACTCGATTTAAAGACGGGAGCTGAATGGAGGTCGACAGGAAGATTAGGTTTCATATTGAGGCGCTGCGGGTTCAATAGTTTTAGATGACGATTGTGATCAGGGGTGAAAGTGCAATAACATTGACAGGAGGTGAAGGTGTGTTGTCAGGCTGAGTGATAAAAGCTTGTTTTAGTTCAAAGAATAATTCATTAGTGACGCAGTTCAGCAGATTTTGAAGATTTTTCTTTGAATATGAAACAGTTTATTTTCTGAAATTTAGATAGAATAAAAAATCTCTGACAGATTATTTCCTGCAAAATCAGGATTTCTTGCCAAGTTTTCTTGACTGCTATTTTTAAATAGTTGCCCTCATCTTCAACTAAGACTGACTAAATGAGCATTGAGTGATAACACAGGGTTAAAGGTGGAAGTTATTGACCCCTGTCTCTCTCTGTTCAAAGGTTGTATTTTGGCAACAACGACAGCTGAAGAAAACAGGAAATGCTTCAGAGACAAGAAAATAAGTAAAAGTGATGAAATTTGGAAAAGAGGAAAGAAATGGGTCCCTCTGTACC